GGGGGGGGGAGTAGCACCTGTTGGACTTACCGTACAATAAATACAGTATGGCGAAGGCTGCGAGCAAAATGCCGAAATTTTCGAAACACAGATAATAAATCGCAAAGCAGCATTGAGTAGATCTGCAATATTGATTATCGTAAAACTTACTCTGAAGTAGCTCCAACCACGTTCAGATGCCGGCCCATTAATGAGCCTCTTTCTGACCGCTAATAAAGAGTAGATCCTGTGAAAAATGGCAACATACTCAGTATGCCTTTTTATCATTGAGTTTGCCCGCCTTTATCAATTCAAATATATTTTATAGAAACCATACAGAAATATAATTAATTCATACACGCGTTTGGTAGCAAATTACGCCTCCTTTGAATTTTGCACGTAAAGAAGGGGAAGCTTTTAGTTTTAACAAAGGTTCCAAATTGCCGAATAATTTCGAAGCCTGCCGAGTGCTACACGTGAATTCAAGGTTTCCATGCTGCATACTGTGTACATCCTGTACAAGGAAAAATATATTTCTGACTGTGGTTTCAGGAAGACGTTACCTAGTTCTAATAACATTTTGCAGTAGAGTTGGATCAATTTGTATATACTATAAACAAACGTCATAACTTAACAGATGCGGCGTGTTATACACACCGCACAGTCATAAAAAATCTCATTGTTAGAAGTTTTTCTACAACCGAAGGATATCTCTTCTTTAAGTATACAAGTTAAATAAGGCATTAACTTAAGGAAAGGCCTTTCGTTGAAATTACATTTTTGGGATGCTTGCCATCCAGTTTATACCAAACCGAGCACTAAACAGCGTTTTGTTGCATTCTTTGCGAAAAATATATTTGTATTTTAAAAGGCAGTCAAAATCAATGGTACATTTGCATACTAATTAATAAGCCACTTTTTCGAATTTGTTTTGTAGGCGTTCAGCAAGAAGTTCATTAAAAGGCCCACATCTGGACGTGACTGAGGAAGTTACCGTTAGGTCCACAAGAGCTCAAAAGAACTCGGATTGGGCGACTGACCTAGAAAGGACGGACTTAAATGACGGATATTGTGATTAGTGTTTCGAGTGTGTGACCGATCAGGCAAAGTATAAGTTGGCGGCAATATTCTCCATGTCTTTAAGGTTAACATTCTGTGGGTCAATGAGTAAGTCACTTTAGGTGCTGCAAAACCTGGAATTCGGCTTAGTTCGCTGATGATCAGAAACAGCCGTCCTAGATATCCTTGCCTTCTTCGATAATATCTTCATGATCGTAATGCACTAGCCACTGTATGGGAACTGGCGGGGCTTACGATGCAGCCAGAAGGCACAATGAGAGGTTTGTGCTTCGCAACGACATCGGTGACTGTCTCACTAGCGTTCTTATTACATACGATCGGGTTATAGTTTAATTTAGGTTCCCAAACAGCTTATATAAGTAACCGAACATTTGCGCACGATAATTAAAATGAAACATTATTTTCCCAGAAGAAATTTGAACAAGGCGAAGATCACGAGTTGAGCTGACTTTAATGACGTCATAAATTTCGTGACCACTCGTTCAGCTGCAGACGGTCGTGGCCTATTAAGTGTCAGTCTCAAAGGGTGAAACTTGATAGGTGAAGGGAGTAGAAACACTTAGTCATAGATATGGGCGCATGGTGAAGAGTAGAGGGGGGAGGTAATTGTCAAAGCATGGCAGTTCATGTTAGTGCATGTTCAT